TCTAATTTGTTCATAAAATAATATTATGATTCTCCTAACTAAATTTTAAAAAAGTATTATTCTAAAAGTCTTAAAACAATATAATAAATCTAGTCTTGATATTATACTATATATTATTGGATATTTGGTTTAAAAGTTTTAAATTTTAATTATGAATGATTCTAATCAATTTTAGTGATATTTATGTTAAATTTTATTTACTTTTAACAGGATTTAGAAGATATGATTAAATTATTAGTGTATTAAAAAAAATTAATTTTAATTGTTAAGAATTATTTATGCTATGTTAGAAACTTGAAGTCATTTTTTATTGTTCTTGCTACCTCTAGTGATGTAACCAAGAAGAATTTTCAGAATTTTTCAATTTTTACAAATGTAAAGGAGTATAAAAACTTATTTATAATTTATGCATTTTATTATATTTTTACTAATTTGGATGTTAATGTGTTTTATAATTATGTTTTCCATTTGATATTAAAATATTTTTATATTATCTCATATATTTAATAATGATAAAAATCAATCAATCCAACTAAACCACATTGATCTGATTTAAGTTGAATTGGTTTGATTATCATATAATAATGGATTAGATGGATTACAAAATTTATTAATCAATTAAATTGAATTAATTTAAAAAATATTAAAATTTGAACCAAATCATATCGCAAACACCCCTAATTTTTCTATATTCATTTGCTAATTTTATAATAATTTATTTATTTTTTCTATAAGAATAACTTCAAATTGTTGGAGTGAAAGATGCTGAAGAAATTTCTTCAGCTCCTATTCCACTCATAGAATATTTTAAACAAGGGTTGGGACGACTCAACGAAGGGTATGCCTTAAGTCTTGGGATAGGAAGACTCTCAAATTGCTATATAGAATAAGAATTAATTAACGTACGTGAAGAACAGGCGATAAAACGTGCTGACTTAGGGAAAAAAATCATTGATAAAAAATCATTTTATCAGGCTTAATATCATTGATATTAAAAATCCCTGAACTTTATTATAAAAATCAATTGTAACCCTCTACAGAAAAAATTAATAAAAATCCCTAAACTTTTTTGAAGAGGCCACTGTGGTCGGTCCTTAAATCCGTTGACGAAAGTGCTGACATGGCACTAACGGTGTTAAGAAAACGCTAAAATGGCATTAACACCTCATAAAAAAAAAAAAATGGCATTAGCACGGTCAGATTATATTGGAAATACATTTTTGACCTTTATACATAATAAGGATTAAAGGGTAAAATTGTAAAATGATATTTTAAGAATTACTTAAATTTATTAATCATAAATTTTAATCTATTAAACAACTAATTAATAAAGGATATAATATTAATTTACTCCTAGTAAATTAATTAAGATTAACAAATTAAATTAAAAACAAATGGTCAACCTAAACCTGAGAAGATGAAGCCTCTAGTGAGATTTCCAAGCACAAAAAAAAAAAAAAAAAAAATCTGCTGCAAACCCAATCCTATATAAATTCATCAAAAACAAAAATAAAAAAATAAAAATAAAGAACTCATTTGTGCTGCAATTTATCAATTTTTCCATCAAGGACCCAGATCTTTGCCTTCTCCCTCATATCCGCATACCCAGATCTTAATCCAACATCATTCTAATTTCATTGGTTTCAATGCCAAAAAACTCAAAACTTCATGCTTCAAATGAAAACGTGGAGAAAAATCGGAGAACAAAACGGGGAAAAAATCGAACCGGATTGAACAAAACATATATGGAATCAGCCAAATCTGAAACTAGAGAAATAATTCATTTTATACCTTTGAAGACAACAAATCAGAAATAAAATAGTTTTCATTTTGTAATTTACGTAGTTTCGATTATAAAATTAGAAAGGAAAATGATTATGTAATAATTTTTATAGTACAATTGTTTCATACAACTTTACTTATCACTTATTGATTAACTTTTTTTACATTATATCTATGATATTATATATATCTATTCATTTATTTAATGATATGTAAAACTTATTATTGACGACCACTTAAGATTTCAAAGTAATGAAAAATTAAGTGTGAAATATATAAAAAGGGAAGTCGTCATTCGTTTACATTATCAGGTGGGATAAGTTACTTAAAATGAGTTTGCGCAAAGATCGGAGTTCGAGGGTTTGGTTAAGAGTGAGGAAAAACATATGTGCACCACACAGTCCTTTGTCTAAACACGGTTACATATTTTAAAATTGAGGTTAATTCAGCTTATTTATTATATTTATGTTTGACTTTATAAGCAAACTTGAAAAAGAGATAAACCAAATTGCAACATTTAAAAATTTTTGAACTGAAATGGATGAAATCAAAGACATATGCATGCACAATAAATACAAATAAAAATTAAATGGATTGATTTGGTTAATTCAAAAAAACATGGAGGACTAAAAAAAAAGATCTAAAACCTTAGGACTAAATTGTTTAATCCTGAAAGCTCTGGGTGAAATTGAAAAGAAGAAAGATAATTTTGACTTTGACTAATATTAAAGGAAATTAAGGATTTAAATTAATTAATTATGATAATTAACTTAATTAAATGATTAATTTAACATTAATTAAAATTAATTAAAATTGATTAATCACATTATTAATTTTTAATCAAGATAATTTAGTAATATAATTATCTTAAATTAAGATTAATAAACATGATTAAGTTATTTTAATTAAAATTAATTAATTTTATTAATAATAAATTAAGTGAATTATCTTAATTAATTAATATATTTTTTTACCTTTTTTCTCGTTTTAGTTTTTATATATTTTTTTACTGGACTGACTCGACCCGAAAACATAAACCGTTAAGCAAAACATGTAAGAAATAGATCAAACATCCAATGAAAATGAAATCGTTTATGTCATTTCCAGCAAAGACATACATTCATCTAGTGCCTAATCTGAACATTTTTTTTTTTTTTGACATTTTCATTAATTTTTCAACAACATACATGGGTTTAACATCACATCTAAAAAAAACATCAACAGAGAAGAAAACAAACAAACATGGCAGATCCTTAAAGGAAAAATAGATGTGGGTTTGATGGGAGGAATCCCACCTACGGGATCAAGCTCCCACCATTCCCTTCACCATTTCCCTAAAAGGACTCTCTGTTTCGAAGATTACCTAAAGCAAGTGAGACTTAGAGCATGCAACTCTTTTGAAACCCAAAAACGGGAAGCTCCTCTGGAAGCTCGATGATCCTCTCCCAAGAATTTGCTTTGCTCAAAACAGAAAATCCTTCTTCTTCGAAACCCCTCTCTTTCGGACTTCTCTCTTCTGCTTCTCTTTTTTTTTTCTTGTTTACAGTGACGAGAAGAAAAATGCAACACAGAAAAGAACAACCCAGAAGAGAAAAAAACCGAAAGAAAACTAAAAAAAAACAAACCAAACTAAAAAATCAACCCCCCAGACCTCCCTGTACCCTGCTTTTTGCTCTATATATATACCTAAACAACAAAATAAAAAAAATGAAATAAATAAAGAAAAGTCTTGCTCCGTTAATCACTAATGATGCCAATTTTGTCTGGTATTGTTGTTTTTTTTGTATGGCTGTAGCGTGCAGGAGGCAGGGGCACGGGATTGGGCACAGAGTGCAGGAGGCGCAGGGTCGGTGCAACAGTAGGGGGCGTAGGCGGCAAGGGTTGGTTCAGTGCAGCAGCAGGGGGTGTAGGAGCATGATTGCCGAAAGTAGGGGTATGATTGGGCGCAGAAGGCACGGGATCTTGGGCGTAGAAGGCACGGGATGCAGAGGGGAGAGTGCAGAGCAAGGCCGGGCGCATGAGCCAAGGGCGCAGAGTGCAGGAGGCAAGGCTCGATTGCGGAAGCAAAGGGGGCACGGAGCAGGGCTGGCTCGCGGTAAGCAGGGGGCGCAGAGGTGCGGTGAGCGTGGAGCAGGAAGGCTGGTTCGGGTGTAAGGGAGGAAGAAAGTTTTGGATGCTTTCCTTTTTCTTTTTTTTTTTTTGGGGTTTTTTTATGGTTTTTGGGTTTGGTATTTGGGTTTTGAGTTTTTGTGGGTTTTGGGTAATTGGGGTTTGAGTTTGGGTTTTGGTTTGGGTTTGATGGGTTTTGGGTTGGACTTGTAAAATTCGTTTTGATGAACTTCATCCCTCCAACTTTTGATTTCTTCAATTGAGTCACTTGTTTTAATTTCTTTCATCTCTTTTTTCCAATCTTCTTCGCAAAATCCCCCCCCCCCTTTTTTTAACCTAACAAGTAAAACAAAGACAAAACATATTAGTTAAAATAAAAATAAAAATAAAATAAAATTCTATTAAAATTTGAGTTATGACACTTATAAATAAAAGTTAGATTTTTTTAACCTATATTAGGGTGTGATTAATACACCTTTTAGCCATTAATTCATATTGAAAAATAAAAAACGTTGATATTAATTTTAACAATGCTATATATTAAATGTTAAATCCCCATTTTGGTCCTTTTACTTTGGTTAAAACCCTTTTTTAGTCTCTTTACTTAAATAAGCCCCTTTGTAGCCTCTAAAGTTTGAAATCTGACCACTTTTTAGTCTCTCTATTAACTTTTGCACATGTAGCACGTTAGATGACGGAAATTTTAAAATAGAACGACCGAATAGTGGCTAAAAAGGGGCTAAAATAGCCCCAATTTGGTCCTCTACTTTGGAAAAAGCCTTTTTTGGTTCATTTACTTTGAAATTTATGTCATTTAACATCAAAATTTAACAGAGGAACTAAAAAGGGGTCGGATTTCAAACTTTAGGGAGTATAAAGGGGCTTTCTTAAGTAAATAGACTAAAAAGGGGCTTTTTGCTAAAGTTGAGGGACCAAATTGGGGTTAATTTAAAGTCAAACTTTATTTTTTTATGTAACTTAATGGTTAAATGGTACATTAATTGCTTTCTTAGGGGACAGATTAGAAAAACCTATAAAAGTTATACAAATTAATTGTTCATATATTATTACCTAGTCATTTGATGTTGTTTAATTAGTCAATTTTTATGTTTGTGGGTTCATAACTTAGCCAATGTTTAGGATGTTAGTTAGGGTTTAGATTTTTTAGGGTTCAATATTTAGGGGGTTAGGGTTTAAATTTTTTGAATTCTCTATTTTATAAAATTGGGATTTAGATTTTTTGGATTATATATTTTTTAGTGTTAGGGTTTAGATTTATTTTTCAAATTTAGTGTTTAATGATGTCTTAAGGTTTATATTTTTAAGGTTTAATATTTATATTTTTAAGGTTTAATATTTAATATTTAATATTTAAAAATTTAAGGATTTAATAATTTAAAAATTAAAATTACAAGACCATAAGGTAAAATTTAAAATTTTAGATTTAAGAAGCAAAAATAAAAAAACTTTAGGCACCAATCAGCTTGGAGACCAATTTGGTCCCTATCACATTACCCAAAAAAAATCCATTTTTATTTAAATGACTGGATGCATTTAATATTATGGATTTCAAATGAATGAAAAATGTCAATTATTTAAATGATATGTAAAATTATACTAAAAGATAACACAAAAATATTGTTCCTATAACAATGCCAAAAAAAAATTAAAAATAGTCCAACTTGGTGCCACATAGGAAACACCATTGAACTTAATAGAGAGCTTAATGAACTTTTGGATGGCGCCAAGATGTGCGTTGACGGAATGACACTTGGCCTCCTCACCCAAGTTTAAGGATTATTATGAACTGTTTTTCAGTAGAGGGATGATAACAACTCCTTTTGCAAACTTCAAGGATTTTTACTAATATTAAACCTATTTGCAAATGTTCATCATTGGTTCACGTTTGAATTGATGTCAAATACTTTAATTTAGTTATCAAAGAAATTACATATTTCTTAGTAGTTTGAAGCAAAATTTTTTAAAAAAAAAATTTATTTAAAACTCATGTAAAAAGTTAATTTTAAAATTTTCTTCAATGAAAATTTAAATTTGTGAGAGAAAATTTATTTTTAAAGTAAATATTTTTAAAATTTTATCAAATACTCTCTAAAGTTTTTGTTTGGAACGAAGGAGAAACAGAGAGTTAAGTTTAGCCTTTACTTTAAGTGATTGGATTCAATTTCTTATCTATGCTGTGGGAGAAATTGTAGTTTAAATTTGGAGAAGATTTGTGGGAATGTAAAATTTGATGTAAAGGGCTAATGTACCCTTTGTAACCAGATAAAAGAAAATACTTATTTGTCCTTATCGAAGTTCCCTAAACCCAATCCCACAACATAAAAGCTATATCCATGAAGATGCATTGGATGGTCACTACCTTTTAGCAAGTTTGTCTCCTGAAAAACAAGCTCCACGGTGGAATTGTAATCTAGTACTCTCACCTCCGTCCCTAGTTGCGGAATCTCCCACTCCATTGGTAAATAATTGAAAGTGAAGTAAAAAAATAATTGAGGAAAATCAGGAAAATTGGTCCCATACACCCCTTGAATGCAGCAATGGTAAGCTTGTAATATATCAATGCTGGAATTAAGGAAGCTTATGTTGTTCACACTAGGTAAGACTCTCGGCTCATCACCTACACATAAGATTTCTTTATATAAGCTAAACAAAATAATTTTCTTTTGTTTGATTTTGAATTATTTAATAAGAAATAACCTTCTTTCATTCATTAACTCATTAACTCACCGAACTCATGTATTATATGATTCAAATTCAAAATTTCTAACTTTATTTATAGAAGAAATTACCACTAAGAAACTAAATAATTTTTAGTATAACTAAATATATTATTTTGGGCCTAAATTTTGAGGGCTCACTTTTCATCCTTAATCTTTAAAATTAAGTAATTGGCCCCTTGGCTCCTTAACCTTTTTATAGTTACCCCTTATTTGATTGGAGAGGAGTGAAGATAAATGGAAGGGTATCATTTTCCTTCCATTTCCTTTCCCTCCCTTCCCCTTCTCTTGTTTGGTTAGACTAAATTACAAAAATAATTAAAGCAAAATATAGGAAAACTACTCTCTTGCTCTCTAATTTTTTGTGAATCAATTAATAAAGAAATTTCTTTTCCACCCCTTCCCTTATTTCCTCTCAAACCAAACAAGTGTGCACGTGTGTGTATGTGTGTGTGTGTGACAAGTGTACATATGTGCATGTGTGTGTGTTTTTCCCTTCTTTCCTCTCAAACCAAACAAGTGTAAGTGTGTTTGACTAATTCTATGGTACAAATCGCCACCATCCATTGATATTGGACAAATTTTCACCCCTAATTCTACTAATTCAAATAAAAAATTATATATGAAAAATTCAAAATTATATACAGATTAAGAATAGATTTAAAATAATATTTATCATGTAATATTTTTTTGATATATAAAGAAAAAATTTCTTTTATCTCACAAGAGCACTCACTCACTTAGCTCTTCTCTTGCTTGCTCTCACCCCTTGCTTGCCCATTGCCTTTGCATGTATGGGTATTTATAGTGAAAAATCCAACCACCCATGCACCATTTTTCTTTGCCCATTAAATGAGTCAACATGCAATCTTGCATGATTTCAACAAAGCAAATGTTAGCTCACAACCAGCTAGGTTGGTGAAGAAATTTCACCACATGAAAAGTCCATGTGTTCACATGGGCTTGGACTTTCTACCAACAGACATGACCAGCCAAAGTTCTACTCCATTAACAGCAATCTTTGCTCCTAGTTTCTCTTTTCTAGCCATGGAATTTTAGTTGTACCGGACAACAAGTTGATTTAGCAATTGCATACATCTAAACAGCAATCTACAAAACCTCATTCTAATTAGATAAAATTAAGAAAGCCGGCTCAGGCTGACAAATTATTGCAACGAAAATTTTCACCATACAAATTCAACAGTAAAGATAAACAACCTAACAACCAATGCCGTGCGTAACTTCGTGAGCTGCCCAAAACGCTGCATATCATTCAAAAACTCCTTCATTTTGCGCGTCCTCGGATGATGGATCCACATCGTCGCATCCATTATCTTGACACTGTTAGCGTCGGACGCCGCCACTATCTTGTCAAACTCAGCCACGTTTAAAGCCACGGGCTTTTCCATTAGGAGATGCTTTTCTTCTGCGCCACGCGCATGGCCCAGCCCTGGTGGAGGCTGGTGTGGAGCAGCAGGTACACGGCGTCGATCTCAGGGTCGTCCAGCAGGGCTTCGTAGGAACCATAGATCTTGGCTTCTGGTGGGAATCTGTCGGCCCGCGCGAATTCAACTGCCTTCTCAAAGGAACGGTTAGCGACAGCCGATAGCTTGGCATTTGATGCCAATAGAATGGCTCAAGATACTTTCGGGGCAGCCTAAGATGCCGATTTTGATCGAAGTTTCTTCAGCCATTTTTCCGATGATAAGGTCTGCGTGGTGTTGAGTTGGTGAAAACGGGAGGTAAACACATTAATCAATACTTAAATCAGCTTTTTTATTTAATAAATGTTTAAATTAATAAATACTTAAATAAAATTTTTTTATTTAATATATATTATAATTAATTTTTTTAAATGAAGATAAAAAAAACTAAATGGTATTTTTAAAAGGAATAGGTGGTTAAATTTAAACATAATAAATAAATTAAAAATTAGATTTATTAAAATTAAAATAAAAAATTATAATTTTTTATATAATTTAATATATTATTTAATAATTAATTACTTTTTATTATGACTTTATAATATTATATATTTATTTATTTAATAATGATATGTATAAATTATATAAAAATACAATTATGTTAGTATCTATATATACACTCTTATTTGACATGATTAACTCATAATCTTATACCTACAATCTTTTATGAGAAGTCCTAATAACTAAAAAATTAAAATTTTGTATTAAAATCTTAAGATTAAATTCTAATATATAAAAACATTAAAATTAATTATTATTTATTATATAATTCATTATTCAACTTATATGTAAAGAAAAGAGAGAGAGAAAGAGAGAGAAGTCTTATACGAGTACAAATTAATTTTGTTCAATAAAGAAAACAACGACAAAGAAAAAGAACGGATAGAACACGACACGAGCCACAAGCGAAGGGAGACGCTGCCTTGCACACCTCTCCCTCTTCCCGTTTTCACAAACTCCACGGTAACTAAATTTGTTTACGAAACCATCCGCTACTCCGACTGCCGAAAAACTGCAGCCAAATCCTTCCACTTTCGAATTTGGTTTCCCTCACAACGAAACTAAGATGTCACTCCTCCACCCTTCTGCGCCAATTCCCTCCTTTCCCGCCACTTCGACTCTCAGCTTCCATCCAAAATCCATAACACGCGCCACCACACGCCTCGCTGTCCGCAAGCGGTGGCGACATTGACACTTTCACCGAGGAATCAGGATACCTTTTCGATCTGAGTGCTTCCGAGCCCGACTTGTTGACTGATTACAGTGTTTCCAGAATAGCCTCAACTACAAGAGGAGGCCTCCGATTCTGCTGCGCCGCCTTCTCCAAATTGGTGTGACTTTCGGGAAATGGTTCGGTGATCGCTATGTCGATACTGTCATGGATCGCACCGACCAGATGTTCGAGGTTTGGATTGATATTGATTTCGTAAGAAATTTGTTTTCTGTTAACATCCGCAATGGTGATTGATATATCTTCTGTTGACTGACAGATTAGAGCTGCGGAGCTTTGGAAAATATTGGTAGAACTTGGTCCGGTGAGACTCTTCAATCTTTTTTTTCTTAATATGTCTGTGGTTTATTTATTCTTTTTGTTTCTTAATTACTTCTGTTTCTTTCTTTTTGTGCTGTAGGCATACATTAAAATTGCTCAAGCTGTTTCCTCTCGACCTGTAAGTTGACATATCATTTAGGCAACAACAAGCATGACTTGCTTAATGCCATTTTACTGTTCCTTTTTTTTCATTGTAACATTTAGTCAGCATTAGAAATGTGCCCCATCATTTAGGCAATTTTACGTATTTAGATTTGAAACTTGAAGCAAATGAATTTAGCTTATGTGAAAACTAGATTGGCCGTGGCTGTAGGATTTGATACCACCATCATACTTGGATGAGCTTTCGTTGTTGCAAGACCGAATAACTCCATTTTCAACTGAAGTTGCTTTGAATACCATCGAACAAGAGCTTGGATTACCAATAGATGAGCTTTTCTCAGAGATTTCACCAGAACCAATTGCAGCAGCATCCCTTGGTCAGGTCTGTATTTGGTTGGATTCTTCTATTTTAACTATTCTCAAGAGTTGGTTAAATCCTAACTTAAAATTTAAAGCCTGGTGCTCTTTCTCTCCCATGTAGGTCTATCAAGCCAGGCTCCGCTGCAGTGGTCAAGTTATTGCTGTCAACTAAAGGGGATCAAATCATAATATGATTGATCCTAATATAAAAGGAAGAAAGAAAAGGAATATCATGCCATTATGAAGATTTATCAAATCATGAGAAATCAATTTATCAATTGATTGATTTCAAGGATTTAATATTGATTGTAATTTCATTAATAGGAAGATTTTTAATTAATTATTATTTTCTTATATTATGTACCCATCACCATATAAATAGAGTTGCTCATATGTAAGAAAACAATGAAGAGAAATAAATTTGCAAACCCATAGAGGCTTTTGTATTGTGGACTAAAAGGGTCTTGATGCATCATGATGTACCATATAATATTGTGTCTTCCTCTCTCTCACTTATCTTTTATGTTGTTCATGTTATTGCTATGTTATCATAAGATTTCTACTATTAGAAATTTCCATACCATATTAGAAACTTCTTCATCAAAACACAGAGGACCGAAGTTGGGGTTGCAATTTCCTTAGGGACCATAATTGGCTTACACTCCACCATACCACACTCCCATTACACACTCTTTTTTTTGTTAACTTCCGTTAGTTCCCACACTCCATTAGTTACCATTACACTCTCACCGTGTCAGTTCCCACCTTCTTCCCTTTATTTTATTTTATTTTATTTTATTTTTTTCACTCGGGTTCTCCAAAGAGAACCCAGACTTGGGTTCTTCTCGGAGAACCCAAATCGAGTTCTCTAGGAGAACCCAGGTTTGGGTTCCCAGATTTGAGAACCCAGTCTAGGTTCTCTGTTCTCCAGGAGAACCCAGATTGGGTTCTCTAGGGGAACCCAAGTTTGGGTTCCTAGATCGGAGAACCCAAGTTGGGTTCTCCAAAAAAAAAGAAAAAGAAAAAAAGGAAGAAGGTGGGAACCTAGAGAGGGCTGGCAATTGTCTTGCAGATGATTAGGATAAGGATGGAGGTGAGGAAGAAGATGGAACTGGTGAGGATGGAAAGGGTTGGGTGAGTCGGGAGATGGTTGAAGAGGTGGTAACAGAGTTAAGTGTAATTAATGAGAAAATAACAGAAATTGAAGGGTGTAACAGAGTGTGGTACGGTGGAGTGTGCATGCATCATTATCCATTTCCTTAGACCTACTGATCTTGTGCTTTCTAGCAGGGTTGATTAAGAGAGTTGGTAAATTTAATACTGATCTTTAGGTAAGTAAGAAATGTGTTATTGGTAGTTCAGTTGCACCTTTTCCCCTTGAATCTATTCCGTTTTTAACTTATTGATACTAACACAAAGCATGTCCTCCAACTTTCAGGTAGTTGTTGATGAGTGGGCATCAAGTCTTTTCTGGGTATAGATGATAATATCTCTAACATTTATATGCTACAACTATTAGAAGATAAATGACATGTTAGTATACCAACCCTCCTGTCTCAACTGAAATTTATATTTTAAATTCAGACTAACTTTTCAAAATAAGATAATGAAGTCTCACTCCAAAATTAAAACCCTTTAGCTAAGTAGTTGTTGTAATGTAATTTTAGATGTCGAATTCATATGGAAGCTATATTAAACCAACAAAAAGAGTTGTTAAAATGAGAAATTAAATTAAAATATGATTTTTAAAATTAAGAATAAAAAAATATTTAAATAAAAGATGATAATTATAAAGAATTGAAAACAATATTATAATGAACAAGACTTCAAGATTTACTTAATTGATTTGTTTAACTGTTATAAATTTTGATTCTTATTTATTACTCAATTGCATGTTTCATATCCCAAACAAACAATCAAAAAATTTAGCTTTGAAGACCAATAATAATAATTAATATATTTATTTTGAGAGAAATTGATTTCAATGAAGAACAAATTGATCTATCCTTATGAGTTATCCAAGAGAGACAACATATCTAATCGATAATATTGTAGTAAAAAGGATCAACTCCTAAAACAAATATACCAATATTATATTATAATAGATTATACATAAAAAGAGCATCACTAATCTTATATGAAATTTGATGAATACAATTTTTAAGGTTTTTAAATATGAAAATAATTAATAATCTCTCAAAAATAAAATTTAATGATGCACTAAAGTTACCCCAGCAAGTGTACTAGTCACTCCAAGTAATATAATGATAAGAAAAGTATCGAACCCACGAGGATTGTGTTTAATTAAATACTAAAATAATTAATCTAAATTTATTTGAACAATTGAAAAGTGAGAATTTTAATTGAAATAACAAAAAGAGACTAACAACTAAAATAAAACTAACCAAGATATGAGGTAATAAGGCATTGATTTCACCATAGTCAATCAATATAAATTATGGATTACTAAATTGTTGAGTATTATTGCATGTGATGGCTGATTTTTTCAAATTAATTAACCAGCTTTCTCAAGTCAAACTAATCCTTCACTTGTTTGCTAAATTAATCATATTTCTAGGTAATTTTAAACAAACTAATGAGCATTAAATCTATGGAAACCTCTAGTTTAAGAAGGGGGAATTCCTAACTTTCTTCTTTTTTTCCACTACCGCGTGTCTAATTACCTTTTAGTCTCATAGTCTAACACACGATTTATATTATTATTGATCTAATTTACGCAATTCTTTTTCAAGTTCATTCATAAATTACTAAATTAATTGAAAGGTGATCAGGTTTTCAATGCATTAAGTTCAATAATATAAACTTCTCATGCGAATAACTTTAATTGAAAATATAAAATCACAAAATCTATATTGAATTGGTTATATTTCATCATAACTCTAATAGAATAAATTAGTTCATAATAAAAATAATAAAATTTGAAATTATAGTTATGAACATTCGAATATCACACAATAGATAAAAAGAATCTAAGGAAAAAAAGAAAACCCAATTTGGGGAACTTAAACTTCTTGATTTTCTATTGTTGATGAATCCTCTATCTTGATCTTCAAGAATGTTCAAAAGAGGGTCGCCACTAGCCTCCTCCCCTCTCTCAATTCTGAAATTTGATGGATATTTATAGAATTTTAGAAACCCTAATTGGATTAAAAGTGGAATCCACACCCATAATAACCAATTAAACACAGATTTTGTGAAAATCGTGTAAGGGGTCAACACCTTCAACAAGGTGCCGACACTTTCTATTCAGCACACAATCCCGCCGTGTCGGGTTTTTGGCCTTCTTAGCAATTTCTGTAACAGTAAAATAACGGTCCCGGTCCCTGACTTCTGGATTCTGCACAAGTTGATCCTCAAGTTTCTGATCTCTGCAATTTCTCTTGAAAATTATAATTTCTTCCAATTAAGTCCTTTTCTACACAAAAAAAATAAAAATTATGTAAAATCAAGTAAAATCTTATAACATTCATCCAAATATCACCAATATCAATATATGTGGAGTCATGGACAGGAGAGAGAGAGGAAGAGAGAGGGTGAGAGAGGTTCGCGGCGGACGACGGGCACGGGCATCTGAGACGACACTGGGCTGGGAGCGGGTAGGATCCTACAGAAGAGGCCAACAACAGAGGCAAGTGGGGGAGAGATGAGGACAATGGCAATCTGAGAGGAAACAGGGCCGAGGGAATCAGAAAGAAAAACCGTATGATGAGGGTCTTTATAATCAAGCCACCCCCTATTTCTTCACCAATTTCCCGGAGTACTAGTCTTATGCGGATATGTGGAGAACGTTCTTACAATATGGGAGGGTGTTTGATATTTACAGCCCGAATAGGAGAAGTAGGAACGGAACCAGATTCGGGTTCGTGAGGTTTTTGGAAGTCAAGGACAGAAAGGAGTTGGAACGGCAACTGGATCAGATCTGGGTTAATGACATGAAGTTATGGGTTAACAGGCCGAGGTACGATGTTGAAAAGATCAAAAGCAAGGAGAAAAGAACTAGCGGGGAAGGAACTTCTCAGTGGCAAGCTCATAAATATGATGAGGCCATGGAAGGAAAAATCAGAGGAGAAAGGATGCCTCAGAAGCAAAACAGAAGTTATGCTGAGGTGGTGAAAGAAAACCAGAGGGAAAGATCTTTTGAAGAAGATAACATTCAAATTCAGTCATCTCAGGAAAGAAGTAATAGCAGATTGAGGTTCGGACTTCACAATAGGGAGCCAAGGAAAAGATGGCAGGAGAAAGGAAGGAGAGAAGACTGGGTTGGGATGGAATATAATATCAAACCTGAAGAATATTCATGGCTCAAAGGGTGTTATGTGGGCACAGTGCACTCAATAGATATGGTCCGCAATTTACAAGAGAAATTTTACATGGAAGGGTATTTTTCTTGTAAAATTTGTGCGATGGGAGGAAGATTAGTCTTATTGGACTGTGAGGACAAGGAGGAACTTAAGGATCTGGTGGAGATGGCAGCAGATTGGCTAGGGCAATGGTTCGAAAAAGTGCAGCCTTGGACACCAGAAACGGTTGCTAATGAGAGATTTGTATGGGTGAGATGTCAAGGGGCACCGTTGAACGTTTGGGGAGCTGATTTCTTTCAAAAAATGGGCAGTTCGTGGGGGAAATTTATTTGCTTGGATGACAGTACAAGTAAAAAGAAGAGATTTGACATTGCTAGATTTTTAATATCCACCCCGATTACAAACTCAATATCAGTCTTGAGGCAAATCAAGATTAATGGGATCATTTACAGCATTAAATTCACCGAGGAAGAATTCACTAATAGTTTTTTTTCTTTGAAGCAAGACTTTATGCCTTCTTTCCAAAGTGATTCAGAGGATCAGGAGGTGTGGTCAACTGAGAGTGAAATGGAAGAGCAGAAGTCCGAAAATGCAGGGGAGAAGGTGCAGGATGAAGCCGAAGGTTGCCAGGAAGAAGATGATGACGTGGTGAGAAGCGTTGGGGAAAGAGAGAGAACGGCTCAATGCATAGAAAGTAAGGAAATTCAGAAGTCAGCGGAATTGGTGGAAGACAGCCTGGAACAATTTCAAAATTTGAAAATAGTGGGAAGTAACGGAGGGGCAGAAACGGAGTTCAAAAATCAGGGGAAGCTGTCATCATCAACGGGCTACGAAGGGAAGATTGGGGCGGGTTTGGACTCAAAAAAAAGTGATCCAGCATGCATGAAACCCACGAGACAGGGAGAAAGCCTAGAGTGTGTGGAGTCTACCAATATGGGCTTGGCCCAAGGAAGCTTGGGGGTAATTAAATCAAAATCAAAGGGTATTATGGATTTTTCCAGAGTTAAAGACTCTGCAGAGGATAATACCGAAGAAGGTGCAGATCTGATCTGGGAAGGTTATGAGAGCGAAAATGGAAGCATGCAGAGAGGGATGAGTAAGCTAAGCGAAGGAATCACCAAAAGGAAGGGGCACCGGGTTAGAAACTGCAGTTCGGTCTATTTAAATACAGATGAAATGGACAGGGGAAGAGGGAGAAGCCGAGGCCGAGGAAGGGGAAAGCAGAACGGAATGCCAAGGGGGAGGAGTTCAATACCAGAATTTGTGCCGAGCCCCAATGGAAAAGTTGCAGGAGAATCTGTAGGCGATTCCGAAATCCATCATTGCAACAAGGCTCTAAAGAAGAAGATGCAGATCAGATTTGCGAATGAGATATGGGAGCTGGCAAAGCAATTGGGGGCAACGACGGAGGATGAGGAGGAGATAATCCGGAGGATTGAAGAGATGGAGAACAGAGATAGACAAGGAAAAGGGAGCGCGGGAATCCAAGGGGAAATTGGTAGCAAGAAGGTGTGTTCAGTCCTTAATGATAATTTTGTCATTTAATATTAGAGGACTTGGTGGGGTTGGGAAAAGAAGGAAGATTAGAGAAATTGTTTTGAAGGAAAGGATTGATTTTTTAGCAATTCAAGAAACGAAAATGGAGATTATTGATAGAAATTTTTGCCGAAGAATATGGGGGTCAGAGAACTTAGATTGGGTATCTAAATCTTCTAATGGCTTGTCTGGTGGCTTATTGTGCATATGGAATCCTTATGTATTCAGGAAAAAAGAAGTTTTAGAAGGGGAAAATTACATTGGGGTGTGTGGAGTTTGGGGGGAAGAGGAATGTCCGATATTCATTTTAAACATTTATTCCCCTTGCCAATTAACGGGAAAGAGAGCTTTATGGGAGGAACTATATAACCTGATTTTAAACAAAAAAGGGTGCTGGTGCTTGTCAGGAGATTATAATTCAGTTAGAAGAGCAGAGGAAAGGGCAGGATGTAAAGGGGTGTCCAGAGTAATGAAGGAATTTGATGAGTTTATTCTGAGGTCCGAATTGATTGATTTGCCATTGTTGGGAAGGAAGTTTACTTGGTACAATTCCAATGGACAACAGATGAGTAGAATAGATAGATTCCTGGTCTCAGAAGACTGGATTTCCAAATGGAGTGATACTAAGCAGTGGGGGTTGAGGAGATCTGTCTCAGATCATTGCCCAATCCTATTGAAGAATGAGAAGGTGGATTAGGGCCCAAAACCTTTCAAATTCTTCGATAGTTGGCTGGAACAACCTGGATGCAAAGAGTTGATTTCAAACTCATGGAAATCCACAGTAGGAAAGGGGTGGAGTGGCTTTATTCTTAAAGAAAAATTGCAGAGAACAAAAAAAGTCCTGAAGGAGTGGAGTGCTAAGGCGGTGACGGAGATGGACAGTAGAATAAAGGATGCTGAAAACATGATAGCCGAGATAGATGAGAAAGGAGAGATCAATCAGCTAGCCACAGATGAGATTGAATTGAGGAGAAATAGCTTTCTTGATTTATGGAAGAATTTAAGAGTCAAGGAGAGGATGGCGCAACAAAAATCAAGGAAGATGTGGCTAAAAGAAGGAGATGCGAATACAAGATTCTTTCACAACTGCATCCAAGGAAGGTGGAGAAGAAGTGAAATTAATTCTATTCAGATAGATGGTGAACAGCTCACGGGAGTGACAAAAATTAAAGAAGGGGTGGCTAGGTACTTCCAATCACTGTTCACAGAAGAAAGATGGAAGAGACCAAAGTTAGATGGGGTTAGTTTCAAGCAAATATCACAAGAGGATAATGAGCTTCTCATGAAAGTATTCTCAGAGGAGGAAATAAAAGAAGCAATATGGGATTGTGACTCTTCCAAATCTCCAGGCCCAGATGGATTCAATTTTAGATTCATTAAGGAAATGTGGGAAGTTATAAAACCGGAGGTAATTGCTTTCATTCACGACTTTCACAATCATGGTAGAATTGTCCGTGGAGCCAATGCATCCTTCGTCGTGTTAATTCCAAAAACAGAAAACCCTCAGAGAATTGAAGAGTATAGACCCATCTCTCTTATAGGGGTCATGTACAAGATCATAGCAAAGCTGTTAGCGAACAGGCTGCGAAAGGTGCTACCCAAAGTCATCGGGGAGCAGCAGATGGCATTTATTGGGGGTAGACAATTGGTAGATGGGGTTATCATTGCAAACGAAGTGATAGATGAGGTTAAAAGGAAGAAGAAGAAGTGCTTCATTTTTAAAGTAGACTTTGAGAAAGCCTATGATAAAGTATGTTGGGAATTTCTGGAATACATGATGATGCGGCTGGGATTTAATGAAAAATGGAGGAGATGGATACTGGAGTGCCTAAAGTCAAGTTCGGTTTCTGTTCTTGTAAACGGTAGTCCAACAAGTCAATTCTCGGTTAGCAAAGGCATTCGACAAGGTGACCCGTTATCGCCATTTCTTTTCTTGATAATGGCAGAAGGGTTGAATGGCCTAGTGACATCGGCAGTGGAAAAAGGAATATACAAAGGAGTGAGGGTAGGGAATGAAGGTGTCATGGTGTCACATCTACAATTCGCGGATGACACGGTATTCTTTGGGGAGGCATCGGAAGATAACATAAGAGTGGTGAAGACTATTATGAGGATCTTCGAGCTGGCTTCAGGACTTAAGATCAATTTCGGGAAAAGCCATTTGATGGGGGTGGGAGTAGCAGAGAGTTGGCAAACAGAAATGGCATATAGATTGCACTGTAAAGAAGGGGAACTCCCATTTAAATACCTGGGAATCCCAATAGGGGGGAACAACAGAAGGAAATCAATGTGGCAACCGATGATACAATCAGTAGAGAGGAAGCTAGCTAGCTGGAAGGGCAGATACCTTTCTATGGGAGGCCGTATCACGCTCATCAATTCAGTGTTGTCTTCTTTGCCCGTGTTCCTAATGTCAGCCTACCTAATCCCAAAAGGTACACTCCTCTCAATAGATAAAATACGTAGACGTTTTTTATGGGGCGGGGGGGCAGAGGAGAGGAAAATAAATTGGGTAAGTTGGGGGGATGTATGTAAAAGAAAAGATGAGGGAGGGCTGGGAGTGAGAGATTTGAGGAAGTTTAATTTGGCGTTGATGGGGAAGTGGTGGGGACGGTTAGCAAGAGTTGATGAAGGACTATGGATGAAAATAATATCAGCGAAATATGGCAAGGGTGGGAAGCATTGGATGGATTGGATTAAAGAGAACAACGAAGGGGGTTCCTTATGGTGGAGAGATGTGTGCTGTCTAGATAGAGTGAATGAGGAGAATGTAGGATGGCTGTCGGAGGGTTTTAGAATGAAAATTGGGGATGGAATTGCAACAAGTTTTTGGTGGGATGATTGGGGAGGGGAGGGATGCCTTGCTAACAAATTTCCTAGGTTGTATAGTCTGTCAACAGGGAAGGAGAAAACATGCAATCAAATGGGCAACCTAAGGAGTGGATCGTGGGAATGGAAGTTATCATGGAGGAGAAATCTTTTCGAATGGGAAGCTGAAGAGGTCGCTGATCTAGAAAGAATGATAGAGGGCGTTAAGATTACTCAAGGCTGGCCTGACAAGTGGGAATGGATTCACGAAAAGGAGGGGCAATACTCATCAAAATCAGCATACCACCTTTTACGAACTGATCAAAGAGGACATAACGGATCTTCAATTTTCAAAAGAACATGGAACACAATTCTCCCGTCCAAAGTATCAGCATTCAACTGGCAACTATTGTTGGATAGAATTCCAACCAAGGTGAATTTGTTGAAAAGAGGGATTATTAAAGACTTGGAGGAGAGCAAGTGTGTTATATGTAAAGAACAAGAAGAGGATTCAGCACATCTATTCTTAAGGTGCAAGCTGACTCGATGGCTGTGGGTGGCATGCGCCAAATGGTGGGGGGCTGAGGCTAAACTCGACATCGACATTTCAAAGACATTTGATAAATTTGGAGATTGGAGCAAAGAGGAAAAAACAAGACAAGGATGGGACTGCATATGGAGTACGGTTGTGTGGACTGTGTGGCTTGCTCGCAATCAGAAACTTTTCCAGCACAAAGAGATAAATGCGGGGAAGCTATTTGAATTAATTCAATTGAGATCTTTCACATGGTTTAAAGCAAAAAATGACAGGTACGTATTCAGCCTTTCAGATTGGATGGTGAACCCGACAGAATGCCTTAGAGGGCACAATGCTGGACGAACGAAAAAGAAATTGAGACTGATGGGTTAATTTGCTGCATGAACATTACCTAGTTGGAGGTATGAATTGATGAATAGTGGGGTTCACAAAGATTATATTGAGCAATTATTGACTGTAGTAGATTCAGCCATAGTCAATGCATGATCAATATCTCGTGGGCCTGATGGGGTATAGCGTGTGAGGGTTTGTTGATCTGTACAGGGGGATATGTTGAAAAGGCAAAAGATGGCAGATTCCTCGTTACGGACATAGTGTCGACACTTTCTCTTGGGTGTCGACACTGTATATAATGTTTTTATGTTTTTGTTTTTATGGGTTTGGAGTACCCCTTGTATTCCGCTTAATAATAAATATCATTTTTGCTGTTCAAAAAAAAAAATATATATCACCAATATCAAGACAAAAATTTCACATTAACATATATATAAATTCAGCTCATGAAATTTCTCCAAACTTAAGTTTTACTCGTCCTCAAGTAAACTAAAAAGAATAACTAAAAAGAAAATAAAACCTAACTCACTTTTGTAGGAATCACGATTGTACTTAGCATGTGTAACAAGCCTTTGAACCCCTAGGTCACCCTAGTGGATGAGTTGTGTCTTATGAAGGTTTTCGGCGGATCTACCCACAAATCCCAATGCAAGAATGCAACTACGTGATATGCTTGCAAATAAAATTTAGGAATTAAAGTTTAATTAGATACAAAGTTTTAAATATTCAAAAGTTTTCATATGCTCATTTAAAGTCAAATACTTATCCTATTCTTCACACCACTTGTTAAAAGATTTAGCCCATGAGCACTCAGTGTGTGTATGGAAATTCTTAGTAAGAAGTCTTAAGTTTAAACCTTCACACCTTAGCACTTATTACTATTTTTTTCTTTTTCTTCCCTCTCATTTTTTTTTTCTTATGTTGAGTTTCCTTAGGTTTTCTAAGTTACCCATGTAACAAGCTTTTTGTCAATGACTCCCAAACCAGTTGGTTTTAGAGCATTAGGTGAAGAGACATCCCTAAGAACATACTCAAGTTACAAAGGCCACGAAATATTCGACTTCTTTTCTTTTTGTTCTTTTTTTTTTTCTCTCTTTTTTTTTTTTCAGCCATATAACACATTCTTCTCTAAACTACCACTTGTCTTTTGACACAAATACTAACAGTTGTGATGAATGCACCTAGTCACTCAACAAGTCATAAACTTAAAGTGCTTTACATTCTCATATTTCAAGTCGTCGTTTGATGTGAAAGTTGACATGGATTTCATGCCTAACCCCCAGTTACTAAGCACTAGAAACATTGAAGTAGAAATTAATAAACTCTTTGTATTGGCTTTTTTTTTTTTTTTTTGTGCTTTTTAGGTGTTTCTAAGTCTTCTCTCTAAACTTCTCACTACAAACTTGTACTCAAGTAGAATAGAATACTCATGAACTTAAACTTCATCACAATGGTGTTATTTTTCAGATTTTGTATCTCCTCTAAGATTTAAAGATTTAGAAGTTTTTGAATCTCTAACTCAAGAATATCCAATTACTTGACACTAATTGGACCAACTTTTAAAAAAAAATAAAAAAAATAAAAAAAACCCGGATTTCTAAAGAAAAATGTATGTTATGCAAATATGAATGCGAACTAATGGATGCCTAAAAGTTTTTCTCTCCCCCAAACTTAAATCAAACATTGTCCTCAATATAAGATAAAAGTAAAAGATAAAAGTAAAAGAAAAAAGAAACTTTCCAAGTTTTGCACTTGAAGACTTAAAATTTAAGTTCTGAAGTTAGGTTGCCTTCAATTAGAGGAGACTCCAAGCATGTGAATTTCCATAATCTTGTCCCCTAGACTTGTTCAATGACCTAGCCAAAATCAAAGAACAACAATTTATGCATTAACCTAGGCCATAAAGAGAAAAAATAATAATAATAACAAAATCTAAACTATTAAAATAAAAGACAAAGAAAGAAAAGAAAAGAAAAATTTTATGCTTAGGTTGCCTCCCAAGAAGTGCTTAATTATAGTCATTAGCTAGACTTTCTACCACTCCAAGGTGGTTTTCGATTAGGTCGTAGGGCATGTCCTCTCGTTTTCTTAAATCTTGGTTTTCTTGCCTTTAAGTTGAATCCACAATAAGATTTCCTCCAATGACTATTCTGAGGTGGTTTGGGTTTAGGCCAAGAGATGTGCCTTCCCAATTCTTCTAGGAGTGCTCCCTTTGATTCCAAGGAAGATGATGTGTTCAAGCAATTTATGTATTCTTTGATTGGGTCCTTAGCTTGAATAAGGTAAATCTCAAATGGATCCTCATAAGTGTTTTACTGCAAAATCTCATCAACCATATCAATAACAAAATAATCATTAAAATCAAATTTGGTTAAAAGAGACTTCCCATTGAACACTTCAAATGACACTTGAGCTTTTTCCTCTTCTTCCTTATGGACATCCTCTTGTTTAGTTTTTCCAGGTATGCTTTCCACTTCTTCAAGTGGTCTTTCAATCTTTAAGGGTAAAGTGTTTTTTTAGCTTTTCTTCTTGATTTTTCATTATTGCACTAGGCAACTCACCTTGTATCTCTTCAGTAACTAAGTTGAGCAAATGACTTGATTGGACCTTCACATTTTTATCCAAACATGTCTCCTCTTCTTGATCTTGAAACCTTGATTGTAGCTCCAGTATATCTTCATTATCCCATGAGGAGTTTGAATAATTTATCCAATCAAAGTTATATGTATTGGGATAAGAATTATACTGCTAACTATAAAACTCACAAGAAAAATAAACACACTTGTTATATCATTTCAATAAGCAATCAGAACTAAAATGGTTGAATCCACACCATTGACAAGTGATATTCAATCGTTCTATTAGAGCTTTCTTTAATTTTTGCCTTTCGATGATTGCTTGAAATTGTTCAAGTTCATCATCGTCAATTTTTGCATCCCAATTGATAGTTATTGCTTCAACTTGTGCTCTTATCTCCGGTGCAAGCCATTGATAATTCACATCAGTGTTTAAGACAACTCGATCCATAGTTAAACCTACAAAAACAAAAATAGAGAAACGAAAACGAAAAAAAAAAAAATCAAAGTAAAGAAATAAAAGAAAAGAAAACGTTCGAATTAAATCTAGAATTAACCAACTTTGATATTAATTAAAATCAACAATCCCTGGCAAAAACTTGATGCACTAAAATCACCCTAACAACTGTACTAGTCGCTCCAAGTAATATAATAATAAATAGAATGTCGAACCCTTGAGGATTGTGTCTAATTAAGTACTAAAATAATTAATCTAAAATTATTTGAACAATCGAAAAGTGGGAATTTTAATTAAAATAACAAAAAGAGACTAATAATTAAAATAAAACTAACCAAAATATGAGGTGCTAAGGCATTGACTTCACCATAATTAATTAATATAAATTCTAGATTACTAAATTGTTGAGTGTTATTGCATGTGATGGCAAATTTTCCTAAATTAATTAACCAGCTTTTTCAAGTCAAGCTAATCCTTCACTTGCTTGCTAAATTAATCATATCTCTATGTAATTTTAAGTAAACTAATGAGCATTAAATTCTATAGAAACCTCTAACTTAAGAAGGGGGAACTCCTAACTCTCTTCTTTTTCTCCACTACCACATGTGAGCTAATTACCTCTCGATCTCATAGTCTAATACACGATTTATATTATTATTGATCTAATTTACATAATTCTTTCTCAAGTTCATACATAAATCACTAAATCAATTGAAAAGTGATCAGGCTTCCAATGCATTAAGTTCAATAATATAAAATTTTCATGCGAATAACTTTAATTGAAAGTATAAAATCACAAAATTTATATTGAATTGATTAGGTTTTATCGTCGCCCTAGTAGAATAAATTAGTTCATAATAAAAATAATAAAATCTGAAATTATAGTCATGAACATATGAATATCAAACAATAGATAAAAAAATTTTAAGGAAAAACAAAACCCAATTTGATGAATTTGAACTTCTTGATATTCTATTGTTGATGAATCATCTATCTTAATATCTAAAAATGCCCAAAAGAGAGCCGCCATTAGCCTCCTCCCCTCTCTCAATTCTAAATTTGGATGGATATTTATAGGATTTTAAAAACCCTAATTAGATTAGGAGTGAGACCCACACCCATGATAACCGATTAAGCACGGATTTTGTGAAAATCAAGTAAGGCATCAACACCTTCAACAAGGTGCCAACACTTTCTGTTCAGCGCACAGTGCCATCACCGGGTTTTTGGCCTTCTTAGCAATTTCTGTAATAGTAAAATAACAGTCCTGGTCCCCGATTTTTGGATTATGCACAAGTTGATCATCAAGCTTTTTATCTCTGCAATTTACTTTTGAAAATTATAACTTCTTCCACTTAAGTCATTTCCTACACAAAAAATAAAAATTATGTAAAATTAAGTAAAATCTCATAACAGTCATCCAAATATCAACAATATCAACAATATCAAGGCAACAATTTCACATTAACATGTATATAAATTTAGCTCATCATTAAACAATAAAATCTATGAAAGAATTAAAATAAAATAACAAGTTAAACTCCCCAATTAAAATTTTCCCTAATCTTGTTGATTCTCTAGCCCTAGAAAAGAAGAAAATAGAAGCCTAGGAATAGCCTCTCTAGCCTCCCCAATTCTGAACTTGGATGAGCATTTATAAGATTTTAAAAACCCTAATTATAATGGTTGTGGGATCCACATCAAAATAATTAGCATAGGTACGGTTTGGTTGAAAAATCACGTAAGGGGTCAACACTCTCAACAACATGCCGGTACCTTGAGTGAAGCACTAATTGGATACTCCGTATTGAGTTTTTGATTAATAGTAAAATAATAGTCCTAGTTCCTAACTTCTGGGTTCCGCACAAGTTGATCATCATATTTCTGATTTTTGCGATTTGCTCTTAATCAAAAATGGAGAAAATCTCACTTAAGCCTTCAAACTTTTAAATTTGATACTTGAACCCTCATCTTTCTAGCTCTTTACATTTGAGTCCTTTTCTTCTAATTCTCTCTATTTAGTTATCAAACCTTCAATCACAAAAATTTGCACAACATGAATAGAATGAACAATTATGAAATTATTTGTAGAAAAATACAACTCTTAAACCCATAATTCCATAAATGTTAATGGTAAAGTACACTTTAAATATACATTTTCATGCTTTCATCATAACCCCCAACCAACTTATTGCTAGTCTCTAGTAATTCAAGCAAGAATTAAGAAAGAAAGCATGTTGATTAGTTCAAATGGACATCTAGCAAGACTATCTAGGTATTTAGAAAAAGATTACAGTCACTATCAAGATTACTTCGATTGTAGCTTCCCAAAGTGTATGTGTGTGAACTAAACATAACTTTCACACCACAAACCACAACATATATAGCCATGAGAATTAATCAAAGTAAAAGCCTCAACTCCATATCTTCACGAGTTAATAATTGTTTAAGGCAAAGGATTTCTCTCATGGAGTTGGAAAGCAGCAAGTCACTCAAAGGAAAAGGCAAAATTTAATGGACAATCAAACAAACAAACAAACATTGATTAGAAGATAAGCTAGTTAGCTATTCAAAATTCCACTACTCTTACTATAAACTAATTTCAAGATTTCAATCAATCAAATACAAGAGCAATAAAAGTAGAGCCTAGTGAGAAAAACTATTCCCTTAAAAGAAAGTTTGTCTTCTAAATTGATGAAAGACTTTATTTGGCAAATTTTTTCTTTTTCTTTTTCTTTTTTCATTTTTTTTATATTTTTCCTTTTTCATTCTTCTTTTTTTTTTCAATTTTTTTCTTCTTTT